TCAAAACTAGGGAGGCCAAGCCCATGATGACACTCTTCAGGTCACTTGTTCTATCTAGGCTGGAATATTGCTGCACTCTAACAGCACCTTTCAAGGCAGGTGAAATTGCCGACCTAGAAAATGTACAGAGAACTTTCACGGCGCGCATAACGGAGATAAAACACCTCAATTATGGGAGCGCTTGAGGTTTCTAAACCTGTATTCCCTGGAACGCAGGAGGAGAATACATGATTATATCACCTGGAAAAACCCTAGAGGGACTATTTACCGAACTTGAAACGCGAAAATCACTCACTACGAAAGCAAAAGACTTGGCAGACGATGCACCATCCCCCCAATGAAAAGGCAGGGGTGTCACTAGCACGTTTAAGAGACCTAAAATTTAAGTGTAAAGGGGCCCGAGACTGTTAAAACTGCCTCCCAGCACACATAAGGGGGATTACCAACAGACCCCTGGCAGTCTTCAAGCTGGCACTGGACAAGCACCTAAAGTCAGTTCCTGATCAGCCGGGCTGTGGCTCGTACGTTGGTTTGCGTGCAGCCAGCAGCAACAGCCTGGTTGATCAGGCGCTGATCCACCAGGAGGCCTGGTCACAGACCGGGCCGCGGGGGCATTGACCCCCGAAACTCTCTCCAGGTAAACTCCAGGTATTCAAATCTTCCTGGAGTGCTCGAATGTCCTCGTCAGAATGAATTCGACGACCTATTTTGGTGTCATCGGCAAACTTGCCGATGTCGCTCTTTATGCCCTCATCTATGTCGTTTATGTAGATTGTGAACAGCAGGGGGCCCAACACTGACCCCTGTGGAACACCGCTTGTGACGCTTCCCCACTCTGATTTCTCCCCATTTATGCAAACTCTATGCTGCCTATTTGTCAACCATGCCTCTATCCAGGAAAAAATCTCTCCTCCTATTCCATGTGCTTTAATTTTCCTCAATAGTCTCTGATGTGGGACCCTGTCAAAAGCCTTACTGAAGTCCATATACACAATATCATATTCATTACCATGATCTACCTCCTCAAATACCTTAGTGAAAAAAGTTAATAAATTCGTAAGGCAGGAACGCCCCTTTGTAAAACCATGCTGAGATTCGTTGATTAATTTATGCTTTTCAAGGTGGCTACGAACTGCCTCGGCAATTATTGATTCCATAAATTTTCCCACTATGGAGGTTAGGCTTATTGGTCTATAGTTTGAAGCTAAGGACCTGTCACCTGTTTTGAAAATAGTATCACATTTGCCATTTTCCACTTATCTGGCACCATGCCAGTTTGTAGTGATATGTTGAAAAGATTAGCCAAAGGTGTGCTAAGCTCCTCTTTACATTCCTTTAGAACCCTTGCATACAGTTCATCAGGGCCTGGGGATTTGTTAGGTTTTAATTTATCTATTTGCCTAAGGACCATGTCACTTGTGACCCTAATAGTGCACAGTTTATTATCGTCCTGTTCTACATAATTTATCATTACTGGAATATCGCTGGTATCCTCCTGTGTAAAAACTGAGAGGAAGTATGTGTTAAAAAATTCTACACATTTCCTTATCACTGTCAGTGAGCTGACCCGAGGAACTTCTGAGTGGGCCTATCTTGTCCCTGATCTTACTTCTGTATACCTGAAAGAATCCTTTTGGGTTAGTCTTCGATTCTCTTGCAACTTTAACCTCATAATCTCTTTTTGCTTTTCTAATTCCCTTTTTTATTTCTCTCTTTAACTGAATATATCGATTTCTCAATTGCCCCTCTCCTCTTTTGATTTGCCTATATATGCCTCTCTTTTGACCAATCAGATATTTTAATCTATTGTTCATCCATTTAGGATCATTTTTGTTTGATCTGATTTCCCTATTTGGAACATAATTTGACTGAGCAGCTAGAACTATGCCCTGGAAAGCATCATATCGGCAACCATCACCACCTACCTGACCCTTAGTCAGGTCATTCCAGTTCAGCCCACCTAAGTAATTTTTCAGTCCTATGAAATCAGCCAAGCGAAAGTCAGGGACGGAGACTTGATTGCCATTATTAGGGGAATTCCATGATATATTAAAACTGAGTGATTTGTGATCACTTTCCCCCAAGCTCATCATTAACCTTAAGATTATTAATTAGTGTTTTCCTACTGGCAAGAACCAAGTCAAGGAGGTTATTTCCCCTAGTTGGCTCTGTCACAAACTGTTTTAAAAAACAATCCTGGATCGTATCAAGAAAGTCACCTGACTCTAAATTTCCTGTCAAATTGCTCCAGTCAATCTGTCTATAGTTGAAATCTCCCATTAGCACAACATTTTCGTATGTAGATGCCTTACGAATTTCGTCCCATAGAAGTTTACTGCACTCCCTATCAAGATTTGGGGCCCTGTAAATCACACCCAAAATTAGTTTTTCTCGGCCCTCGAGAAGCTGTAACCAAACAGATTCAGTGGCTGACGCTTCTAATTTAATATCTTGTCTAACACAACAATTTAAATTGTCTCTGACATACATCGCTACTCCACCACCTTTCCTGTTGACCCTGTCAGTGTGGAATAATTTATAGCCTTGTATGTGACATTCAGAGGGCATCTCTCTATCTTTCAGATTGAGCCAGGTCTCTGTTATAGCAATAATATCTATGTTTCCTGCACTTGCAATCAATCTTAGCTCATCTATCTTATTTCTTACACTCCTGCTATTAGTATAGTAAACCTTAAGGGAGCTAGTCCCTTGCTGCCCTCTGCTGTCCCCCTTTGTTTGCTGACCTGATCTATTGTCTTTATTGATAACTTCATGCTGAATGCCTTTTATACATTTACTGTTTCCAACCCAAGTGTTGCAACCTGCTTGTTTCCCACACACACCCATACCTCTATCTTCCATCAGTTTAAAATCATAGGCATTTCACCAATGGCCTTCTCAATCGAGTCTGCAAGTGCTACCACCCCAGCCCCAGAGAGATGTACCCCATCCCTTGCATACATATCATGTTTGCCATAAAAGTTGTTCCAGTTGTCAATGAATGGGATTGCAAGTTCCTTGCAGTATCTGTCTAGCCAGCAATTTACACCAATTGCCCTAGACAACCATTCATTTCCTACTCCCCTTCTAGGCAAGATGCTACATATGATTGGGATCCCTCCCTTAGACTTAATGAAATCTATAGCTGACCTGTACTTATCTAGCAGCTCTTCTCTCCTACCCTTCCCAATATCATTTCCACCAGCACTGAGACAGATAATGGACTTGTTCCCATTACCTGACATGATATTATCCAGCCTGTTGACAATGTCCCCAACACCAGCTCCAGGGAAGCACACTCTATCTCTCATCTTCTTATTCCTATTACAAAAAGCACGGTCAATATATCTTACCTGAGAGTCACCAACCACAAGAATGCGCTTACCTCCATTAGCAGGGGCAGTAGTACCCTTACCTTCACTGGCCACTGAAGTACATTCATCCTGAAGAACAGAGAAGCGATTTCCTACCTTCAGATCTTCACTCTTAACTTTCCTTACTCTGATGCGCCTTCCATTACTGTGAACCACTCGCCACTTGTAGCAGGTGCTGGACTGCACCTCACTGCTGGTAGCCGTTGCTACCTCCCCAACTACAGCCTCCTCACAGCGAGAGACAGACTGCATCTCACTGCTAGAAGCCTCATTCCCCACAACTCCAGCCACCTCACACTCTCTCCCAGACCCATTGAGGTGGACCTTCAGCCTCCTAATCTCCTGGAGAAGCAAGACCTCCTCCTTCAACTCTCCAACCTCAATTTTTAAAACACTGCAGAAGCAAGCCATGCTTTGTAACCGTCCACACTAATCCCCAAAGCAGCAATTGATATGTCATATGTCATGTATTAACTTGATAAAACCCAATTATAAGCCAAACATCGTCTTCAAGATAAAGGTTTTATTTGCAAATAGTGTCATAAGTGGGACTGAAGTTACACAGTTCATTTAAGTGAAATGACTTATAAATGCACAAGTGTACGGAGACATCGTTGATTACCACATCCAATACAGTCTTATGGGGTGCATAATAAATATATTAAACTAAATACTACTGTTCACCTAGCGCTAAGTAGGTACCTGGGTGTTAGTTGGCTGGTGTGGATCGCATCCTGGGGGACAAGATTAAAGAATCCCAATGGAAATAAGACAGACAGTCCCTGGTGATGCACTGGCTTAACTGGGTTATCCTAGGCGACTAATCCTTTCCCCCGGGTTAGAAATCCCAACAAAATCTTAGCTTATCTCTCTCCAGTGAGGAGAGGCCATGCATCCTACACCTGATCTTGTTCTGCCTGTATATTTCGTATCAGACAAAATATAGAATTATATACCCCCAACCCAGGGGCCACCGCCTGGTCACCATCTGGAGAAGACCCGGGCCGGAAGTACCGGCAAATCCCTAATGAATGAATAATAGAATTATATACCGTATATCGATAGGTGTATATCCCTGTGTATATAAGCTTTGTGTGAGGTTTAACAAAGCTAGTATAGGAAATGTAGCAAAGTTAGCATTGAAGATGTAGCGAATTACCATGGGTGAGCGTAGAGAATTGAACACTAGAGAATGTAGCAAAGTTTATGTGGGCGAGAGTAACGAACTTATCATTGTTGAGTAGCAAAGTTAACTTTGGTCAGTAGCAAAGTTAACTTTGGTCAGTAGCAAAGTTAGAATTGGAGAGTGTAATAAACTTGGCATTAAAGAGAGTGTAGTAAAGTTGATTTTAACGTGAGTGTAGTAAAATTAAAGTAGATGCGTTGCAAAATTAGCATGGGGAGTGGAGTAAAGTTAGCATTGCAGAGTGGAGGGAGTTAACCAGGGCGAGTAGTAAAGATAGCATGGGGCAGTGTATGATAAAGTCAGCATTGGCGAGTATAACAAATTTAGCTTGGATGAGTGTAGTGAAGTTAACACTGGAGAGCAGAACAGTAATGGTTATCACTATGACCATAATTTTTAAAGGGGTGGACCGGTAAGCCAGCGGAAGGCCTCGGTCAGATGACCTAAAGCTCCAATGGTGGGTCATCATCTGACTAAGACCCACGTCAGGAAACACTTGCCCTGTTTCCTGACGAACCTTACCTAACCTAACCTAACTGGAGAGCACAGCAATGTTGGCAGAGGATGAGTATAGCGAAATTATCATTAAAATAGGCAATGAAGTTAGCACTGGAAAGTGCAACGAAGTTATCACTGAGGAGCGTAGCCAAGCTAATAATGGAGAGTGCAGCGAAGTTAGCAATGGAGAATACAGCGATGTTAGCAATGGAGAATACAGCGAAGTTAGCGTTAGTGATGGCAATAGTAGGAGGCAAGATCAGCTGTGATGGTAAACAAAGCTTCACTAGGTGACCAGCCTCTCAACAAATAACTCGGAAGTGCAGCAGTTCATCACAGATTTCATACTTCAACTGCTTGTATGATGTAGCCTCAGAAGCAAATTAATGTTACACAGAATATGTGCACCGAGAGGTGTGTATTATGATATAAACCTCAAGGATATTTTAATCCCAATTTTATGAATTATTCTTAGATATTATTGTAGGGATGAATTATAGCATTGCTGAATTATATAGTCGATGGGCTTTAAGCCTGAAAAATTAAATTCGCATAGGAAGAGAAGCTTAATTTTCTGCCTAGGGGAAATAAATCATTTTGAATTTTTTGGGTTATCCTAGGTAATCTACACGTGTTGCTATGTATGATAATTTATGTAACTATTTATGTGTACCTACACTTGAATAAACTTACTAGGGAGCTGTTAATGTTACCATCCAGTTACTGCCCATGCTCAGTGGAAATAAGTCACATTGTCTGACTTTTTTGGGGGGTTATTTTAGGTAATATACACATGTGTTACTATATATGATAATTTGTGCAGCTGTATTTATGTATACCTATACGTAAATAAACCTACTAACAGCTTGTAACTTTATTGATTAAGATTTCCCTTCAAGGAAGAAGAGGGAAGCCCCTGCTCTTGATTCGAGGAACTGGAGTTCTTGGTCTCTTCCTTGGCCCAAGTCTTAAATGCTCCCAATTCTCTTGTTTCATTTGGCTTCATATGTGCGGAAATTTCCTCTTTCTTGTAAAATTCTGCTCCTGGGCAGAAAGTAAAGGGAGTTGTAGATGAGTGAAGCACTCTCCCAGATGACATTATTGCTGCAATAACTTTGGGAAGCTTTAAATTAGTGCTGGAATGATACCAAAAATTTTGCCGATACTGCTGCTCAATTTTAGGTTGATACCAATACCATCAAAATTAACCAATGCCCACCAATAGCAATACCAACACCATCAAAATTAGTTGATGCCACTGATACTGATACTTTGGCATGCCATTACTTTCAATATAGGTTGGATGGGTGCAAGAGTAGGTGTGGGTAGGTGGGATTTGGACCTGCCTAGCATGGGTCAGTAGTCCTGCTGCAACACTCCTTTATTTTAAAGTCTGAGGCTGTTATGGTGAAAAACTCTGTTCCACAAGGCACAGTACTCGCTCCCATCTTGTTTCGCATCCTCATATCTGACATAGACAAGGATGTCAGTCACAGCACCGTGTCTTTCTTTGCAGATGACACCCGAATCTGCATGACAGTGTCTTCCATTGCAGACACTGCAAGGCTCCAGGCAGACATGAACCAAATCTTTCAATGGGCTGCAGAAAACAATATGAAGTTCAACGATGAGAAATTTCAGTTACTCCGATATGGTAAACATGAGGAAATTGAAACTTCTTCAGAGTACAAAACAAATTCCGGCCACAAAATAGAGCGAAAATCCAATGTCAAAGACCTGGGAGTGATCATGTCGGAGGATCTCCCCTTCAAGGACCATAACATTGTGTCAATTGCATCTGCTAGAAAAATGACAGGATGGATAATGAGAACCTTCAAAACTAGGGATGCCAAGCCCATGATGACACTCTTCAGGTCGCTTGTTCTATCTAGGCTGGAATATTGCTACATACTAACAGCACCTTTCAAGGCAGGTGAAATTGCTGACCTAGAAAATGTACACAGAACCTTCACAGCGCACATAACGGAGATAAAACACCTCATTTACTGGGAGCTCTTGAAGTTCCTCAACCTGTACTCTCTGGAATGCAGGCGGGAGAGATACATGATTATATACACCTGGAAAATCCTAGAGGGACTAGTACCAAACTTGCACATGAAAATCACTCACAACGAAAGCAAAAGACTCGGCAGACGATGCAACATCCCCCCAGTGAAAAGCAGGGGTGTCACTAGCACGTTGAGAGACCATACAATAAGTGTCAGGGGCCCGAGACTGTTAAACTGCCTCCCAGCATACATAAGGGGGATTACCAATAGACCCCTGGCTGTCTTCAAGCAGGCACTGGACAAGCACCTAAAGTCGGTACCTGACCAGCCGGGCTGTGGCTCGTACGTTGGATTGTGTGCAGCCAGCAGTGACAGCCTGGTTGATCAGGCTCTGATCCACCAGGAGGCCTGGTCACAGACTGGGCCACAGGGGCATTGACCCCCGGAACTCTCTCCAGATAAACTCCAGGTATTCTTGTAGTCCTGTTTTTAATGTAGCATTTGCTAGTGGTGCTGTGGTGGGTGTATCACCCTCACCTGAACGGGAATCAGCTTGGGATGTACTAGATGGTCCTCTGGGAAAACTGGGGGGGCCCTCTGGTGACAGAAGTATTGCCAGAGATTTCCTGCTTATTTTGAAGTGGCAGCCAAAGGGGTATGAATCCTTGTGTTTCACATTGCCCATTGCTCTTATTAACTGAGCAACTAATTTCATGGTTGATGCTCTAGTCTAATCAGGGAGTTTTGCTAAGTCTACCACCACTGCATCAGGCACTTAAATGTAATGGAATTGTGTTGAACAAGATACTCCCCCTTTCCCATATTAGTCATACTGAAGTTTTGCTGTATACATAGCACATACATACATAATGTATATAGTGTTGTTGTTGTTGTTGGAGTTTATAGGGCCACTGACAGATAATGTATGTAGTGGTGGGTGTGGGTATGGGGGAGGAACCATTTTGTAATTATTGTTTCCTGTAAAAACTGCACATCACCTTTTTTATAACTTGCTGGTAGACAGCTAGAAATGTACACACAAACGATTAATTACAGCACAATATATCAGTAGCAGCCAATCATTGTTCGTGACATATGCCCAGAAAGTAACTCTAGCTAACTTACAAGTAATAAAATAAAAATTACATGCCATTAAAGCCCATACACTGAGAAAGATTTTATTGCATGGGTGCTTTGGCAGGCTATCTACACATGGAAATTTAGGCCCCATGACATACATGGGTTAAGGTTGTCCATCTTTTCAGTGTCATAAATATACAAAATGTGCTATATTTTATTAATGCAGGCTATGAGAGCTAAATAGGTTCACGGTTCAGCTTGACTGTTCTAAGTGCTGTATAGTGCACAGTATTTGAAAATATACTACTATTCTAAATGAGTGTGTGCAGATTAATAAGATTACTTTTTTTTATTAATCAGCTTATCAGCTGAGCCAAAGCAACCTGTTAATTCTATATGATGTTCTTAAATGCTTCAACAAGGGAATTTTCAGAAACTGACATTACATGCACAAGTGAGGCTTTAATTATGCTCTGCTTGAGTTTTCAGTATTGGAAGCAATGTTTCCTGTGTAGTATTTGGTTTTGTTTTACTTGTATGACTAAAATGAACAGATCTCTCTGGGTTATTGGGATCAGATCTGACAGTTAATCTCATTGTAAACTAATACTGTATTTTGTTTAATTTTCAACCTAATTTTTTTTCAATGAACAGGTAATAATGTAAAGATGTGGTAAATAAAGAATCATGTATTTCTTCTGAAGATAAAGATGACTACATGCGAAAGTGACCGCCTCTCCTGGACAGGACATAGCCTTGTTTTGGCTAATAGCTTGTATCGTCTGTATGCACAATCAAGTCTGCTGGACGTGAGGCTGGTGTGTGACGAGGCACACATTTATGCCCATAAGGCTGTGTTGGCAGCTGGCAGTCGATTCTTCTTGGAGCGTTTGCAGTCATTGGGCTCAGGAATGGTAGAGCTCCAGATGTCCACTGCAAACTTAGGCATGCTCATTTCCCCAAGTATGTTTTTTTCATATAGAATGTAATGTTCATCTTCTATTTAGGTTTCATGCAACAAACGTTTTATGCATCATTGATATACTGTACTGTATTATAGCACATGGTACTATGAAGGCTGACCGCCACACTGTTAATTACTAAATTATGTCAAATCTTAAATCTTATACGTATTTAAAATAAAAGAAACTAGTAGAAGTGTCATGAATGAATTTATACCACAAATCTGCTTGTATTCTGAGTAAACCTAATGTTTGAATGTGGTGTATAATGAAAACTAAATTTTTTTCTGTGTTAAAAGGGTAAATTCAAAATTACCCATTAAAAGTATGCTTGTACTGTACAGTGGACCCCCGCATAACGATGGCATCACATAGCGATTATTTCGCATACCGCTTACTTTAATTGCAAAAATTTTGCCTCACATACCGCTTAAAAACCCGCTTACCGATTTTCTTCCGAGACGCGCTCACATGTTCCGCCGGTGGCATTGTTTACCAGCCAGCCTCCGCGGTAACATCCAAGCATACAATCGGAATATTTCGTATTATTACAGTGTTTTCGGTGCTTTTTCTGGAAAATAAGTGACCATGGGCCCCAAGAAAGCTTCTAGTGCCAACCCTACAGCAATAAGGGTGAGAATTACAATAGAGATGAAGAAAAAGATCATTGATAAGTATGAAAGTGGAGTGCATGTCTCCGAGCTGGCCAGGTTGTATAATAAACCCCAATCAACCATCGCTACTATTGGTGGTACAGCTGCTGCTGCTGCTGCACTGTCAGCTGCTGCTGCTGCTGTAGCACCGTTGTTGGTGTGGCTTATTGAGAATACCAAGAAACAATTAACCCCAGAGGATTTGCCACCCAGGATAACCCAAAAAAGTCAGTGTCATCGAAGACTGTCTAACTTATTTCCATTGGGGTCCTTAATCTTATCTCCCAGGATGCAACCCACACAAGTCGACTAACACCCAGGTGAACAGGGAAAAATGCCTGGAACTAGTGCTCATATTGGTGAATTTAAAGCCAGCAAAGGTTGGTTTGAGAGATTTAAGAATCGTAGTGGCATACACAGTGTGATAAGGCCTGTTCTGGAAGAAAATGCCAAACAGGACCTACAGTACTCAGGAGGAAAAGGCACTCCCAGGACACAGTGTCTCATCAGTCATTGCTGCATCTTCAATAAAGGTAAGTGTCATTTATTCTTCATTTAGTAGACTAGTACATGCACAATATATACTGTGCATGTACTACTCTACTATTGTGCATGTATCCTTCTCTTTGTGTGTGGGAAAATGTATATTTCATGTGGTAAAATTTTTTTTTTCATACTTTTGGGTGTCTTGCTCGGATTAATTTTATTTCCATTATTTCTTATGGGGAAAATTCATTCGCATAACGATTATTTCGCATAACAATTACCCCTCTTGCACGGATTAAAATCGTTAACCGGGGGTCCACTGTATTAGGAAAAGATGATAATGTTTTTGGGCAAAAAAATAAAAAAACTGTTAGAATTTATTAAGTTTAAAATCTTGAAATCTATCACAATGGTAGCTTAACTTTTTAGTTACCACCATCATTGCTTTGTATCTTTTTTTTTTTTTTTTTTCAACAAGTCGGCCGTCTCCCACCGAGGCAGGGTGACCCAAAAAAGAAAGATAATCCCCAAAAAGAAAATACTTTCATCGTCATTCAACACTTTCACCACACTCGCACATTATCACTGTTTTTGCAGAGGTGCTCAGAATACAACAGTTTAGAAGCATACACATATAAAGATACACAACATATCCCTCCAAACTGCCAATATCCCAAACCCCTCCTTTAAAGTGCAGGCATTGTACTTCCCATTTCCAGGACTCAAGTCGACTATATGAAAATAACCGGTTTCCCTGAATCCCTTCACTAAATATTACCCTGCTCACACTCCAACAGATCGTCAGGTCCCAAGTACCATTCGTCTCCATTCACTCCTATCTAACACGCTCACGCACGCTTGCTGGAAGTCCAAGCCCCTTGCCCACAAAACCTCCTTTACCCCCTCTCTCCAACCCTTTCGAGGACGACCCCTACCCCGCCTTCCTTCCCCTATAGATTTATATGCTTTGTATCTATAATAATAATAATAATAATAATAATAATAATAGAGTTAGTTACTTAATACTTACTTTGTATTAGTATAATAATAATAATAATAATAATTATTATAATAATAATAATAATAAGGGTAAAAATAATAATTGTGAAATATTATGATGGTAATTTTAACTAAGAGCACTAAAAATACTGTATAGTAATTATACAAAGCATACAGTATTAGTATTGTAATGGATAATATGTAATAAAGAGGATGATATACAAAGAACAGGATAATATACAAAAATAATGTACAAATACACTAGTTGATGCAGTGGGGCTACTATCTTTTTGATATTAAATATAATAAAATTAATAACAAAACACTCATACAGATGATCTACGAGCAGTGGTGGAGTACATGTACTGTGGGGAGCTCCTGGTTCCTCATCACCGCTTGCCACATGTATTGGCCCTAGTGAGAGCCCTTCAAGTCTTTGGCTTCCAGGCTGATGCAGGGTATATTGCAGCTCCAGAGCCACAGTATATAGCACATGCAGAGATGAATTATGCCTCCATAGATGTCTCAGGAGTAATGGAAATCCCTATAGAAAGTTCACACATGCAATTAGAAAGAACTGAAAATAATGGTAGCGGGCTTGGTGACAGCACCTCTATTCCACTTGTAACTGTTAAACCCCATGATCAGAATATACTTCAGGATCCTCCTAAATATTCTGAGCCATTGAAAATAGATACAAATATTAGCACACTGACCTCAAGCAATATGTCATTTAGTGAATTATGCACTGCACCAGGGACAGATGGAGATATATTTGCTATTCAGTGCAGTCAGATGAAGAATAACATTCCTTCAATATTTGAAAGTTCTGTTTTAGAAGAAACTACATCAGTTTTCAAGAACAGACCTCCTGAGTGTGGCGAGATGTACAATAAGCCTGACAGTGATGTCATGTACACACGGACTATCCTTAATTTTAGGGGGGAACCTGATGCTGTTATTGAAGGAGGAGGAAGAACAATGACTGCATCCTTAGAAGATCATGGAAAAGAGGAGCGGAGTGTTCAACTGGACCCCCGACAATCCAATACCTGTGACCTAGAAGGAGATACAGATGATGCCTACAATACTGTCATGTTGTTGGAAGCTCTGGCAGCAGAAGGTAAGGAAAGCATGAGGGTGATATTTTTTAATTAAAATGGTAGAGGTGATGTAAGGTACCTTCTGGTTATTTTCCTGACATCACTATGGTTTGTGAGCAACTTCTCTCCTGACTATTCATTGAGCAGACTTATGCATGGTCATCTTGGGAATGGGTATTCTTCTCAACTTTGCAAGACTTATTAGGTCATTGTAAATATACAGCTTATCTTGACAGATTATCTTAAGCATTTTGAGCAAGATGTTTTTAGTTTTAAAATCTCTCTTCATGCCTTGATACACTCACTCCCTACTCGCCTTTCAGAAAATTCAAACGTTGATGTGGATGCTGTTTAGGATGTTATAGATCTGAAACTACTCTCACACTGTCTCTAATTTCTATATTCTGCTTATACCTTGCCCTACACTTGGATTGCCCATTATTTCTTATACTTGTTGCTCTTTTCTCCTGCCATGTGGCACTGAATGACCCCTTTTTCATAATTATTATAATTATGATTGTTATAACTGCATGCATTGTTATTATTACAAATTCTTCCTCTGTAAGCCAGGCATGTCATGAAAGGTGACTAAAATGCTGGGAACAAGGGGCTAGTAACCCCGTCTCCTGTATAAAGTACTAAATGTAAAAAGAAAAACTTTAGTTTTTCTTTTTTACGGGATGACATAAAAAGTAAAACTTTCGTTTTTCTTTTTACGGGATGACCTATAAAGAAAAACTTTAGTTTTTCTTTTTAGGACACTCTGCCTTGGTGGGAGACAGCCAGTTCATTGAAAAAAAAATATTATTACATTACTAATATTAGTAAGATAATAGTGCAGTACTTGTAGTACAAGAGTTTAAATGTGATAATTAAACATACCAAAGAATGACTCTTCAATTTTCATCTTGCTTTGAATTGTAGAGTGTGTACTATATTATATACCGTTCTTTCGGCTATTTGTGTGGAAATGGCAAATACTCCATATATGGTTAGGAAAATGTGATCTCCACTCTCAGTTGCTTTTTCTTTGCAACAGCCCCCAGTCCATCAGTCGTAGATGTGGAGAACATTCTCTTGACTGATGAAACAAAAATGGCCATTAGTCCCAGGTGGCTGCGATCTCGGAGGTCTCTAAGGGCAACTGCGGATTCTCGAGTTCGATTGAAAGTGAAGGATAGCATTGGAGGTGTGTCTCTGCAGGACACATCTCAGCGGCAATCAGCAGTTTCCTCTTCTCTCCATTCAGTCAAGTATGCAGTGTATTATTGTTAGGATTTTTAAAGTGAATTCTTCTGTCTCCTTGACTGCAGAATAGATTTTTTCCTTATCAGAAAATTATAAAAGCAGCTCAGAGTATCACTGTTATTATCATTACACATCATCATTAATCACCTTGACACGAGCAAACCCATATGGAGAAATTATAACAGGACAAGATGAGTATGATATTTTGAATTTCAGTGTACCAATGAGGCCTTCTTCATCAGACTTGAAGGTGTACTAGAGAATAAATTACCAGTATACAGTACTGTATATAAAAGTTAGTTGTCCAAAGTTTCATATCTTAGGTCAAGTACAGGACCTAGTTCTGGTGAAGATCTAGGCGAGTTGCAAGAACCTTGTCAGGTACATAATTTTGATTAATAACAATCTAAGGACCATTTCCCCATTTATTGATTGGCTCATGTTCTTACAATGACCACATTCCTAGTGGCAGACTTCTTTCCCTAATAAGCAACTGCTCTCTCATTTAGTGACCAGATGCCAGATTTTTTAAACCACTTGTGAGTAGGTATTATATTTTCCATATTCTTGCACATTTTTATATAGTAAGGAATTTACAATTTACCATGGTATCAGATTCCCTTATGTTGCTTTCATTTTTCTTATTGGCACTATAGTAACCAGTAAGTGGTTTTTAAACTAAGATAAGAATAAAATTTTATATTTAAAATAAATGAATAGCATCTTTGTTGTTCATTTCTTGTTTTTATATTACTGTTGAAGTAATTAATAAACTGTATTATCTTCTGCAGCCCAGAAGATGAAGCAAAGATAAATTAATAGCATCTTTGTTGTTCATTTCTTGTTTTCATATTACTGTTGAAGTAATTAATAAACTGTATTATCTTCTGCAGCCCAGAAGATGAAGCAAGGATCAAGGACAACAAGGAGAACTGGATGGTGGTGTTGCCTGATGCTCGTTCTTCAGTGATTCCTCATATACCTGGCACCAGCACTCTTCACACACAAGCATCTATGACTGATGCTGACACTGCCACATTGTCACAAATTACAAATGAAGCTCCTGTGCATGTACAATCTTCTCTTGCTAATTCTTCCTTTTTAAATAGGGCTACTGCCTCTAATGGAGTTCCTTTGATAGCCTCTCCCATGCCTATGTCTGCTCCACTTTTAACACAATCTTCATGTCCAAGCAGTATATCAATGTTCACACACCCCACTGTGTCCAACACTAATTCATTATTAGTACAGTCTTCTCTTACCAATCCCAATCCTTTGTTAACACAATCAAACATTTCTTTTGCTCCATTTCTTCAGCCCTCTGTTTTATCAGCGGCTGTTGTCAATCAATCTGATCTCTCACATGTTCATCATACTATCTCTACTCTTCCATTGCAGGCTCTGTCTGTTCAATCTATAGATTCTGAAATTGCAGTTTCTTATTCTTCTGATATTCCTTATTCTCAGTCTACTAGTCCTATGTTCACACAGTCTTCTTCCTCTCCTGCACATATCTTTTCTCAAACATCATCAGTTCCCCCTCATGTGCAGTCTCCAATTTCCACTTCTTCCCCTCTAAGTGAGTCTTCTGTCTCAATTCTGACCCCTGTCACACAGTCAGATACACCTGCTAGCTCTGTTACATTTGCCTCATCTTCACATTCATCAGCAACCCCAGTTTCTCAACTTGTACAATCATCTGAGTCTTCTGTTTGTAGCTCAAGTATTTCAGATTCACTTGCTCTACAGTCTCCCATTTCTAATAGCATTCTTACTCAGCTATCCTTGTCTACTCCTGTATTGGCAGTAGCCTCATCCTCTGCATCTTCCTTTCTCTCACAATCATCTTCAAGTCCACTAGCCATAGAGTCTTCTAATATTTTAACTCCTACCTATCCTGCAGTTGTAGCATCTCCATCTTCTCATCCATCTAGCCATGTCACCTGCTCTTTATCAAATCCAACTTTCCCATTTACTTCTTCATCATCTTCCTTGGCAAGTTCTTCACCAATTGTATCTTGGCCCAATTCACTATATGTATCTCACACAACAACTTCTTTAACAGACTCCTCTATTGCAGCTCTTTCCCCTTCAGCTAAATCTTTTAGCAACACTAGAATATCGGCCACTTCATCTTTGCATCAAGGAAGTGCATTACCAGTAACCACAAAAGCCATCACAAACTCTTCTCCAAACATTCCTCAGTCTGTAAGCACTGGAAATAATAAAACATCTCTCACCACCACCATTACTACCACCACTGCTACCAGTACCTCTATGCTCTCTTCAAATGATGTTAAACACACTACAACTCCCTCAAGCATTGCACCATCTAGTCCTGGTTTAGTGTCAGAAGAAGGTCGCAGTGACAGTGAGGACGAGAATGCTCATCAGTGTTCGCAGTGCCCAGGAACATTTAAGAATTTAGATAAACTTACTCTTCATCTATGGAATGAACATGAAATTGGTACTGTAGCTAGATGTAAGTAATTACTCACCTATCACTTTGAACTAGGCCTCACTACTATAGGATTTCTCACCATGCCCCCAAACACAATTTTGTTGCCTATCATTAATTGTTTAGATTATACAACATAATATAGCTTGTTTTAATTACTATTTTTGTTTAATCAAAAGATTTTTTTGGATTTTATTTTTATAAATTTACCAATGTGTTGTACAGTATTCTGCTATATCTCTGTACAGTGCTGTTAATTTTAAAACTCTGGTTTGATAAATGATAAGTATTTCACAATTTTATTTCATATACAGCGAGGCTTCCATATTTGCTAAATATGGCCTTTCGCAAGAGGGGCACTCATGAAGAACTAAGCCTCTTGCACTGTCACAGAACTTTTGCAGGTCAGCTTCATCTTTTACGCTATCACAGAGACCATGTTTAAGCTTCTTTATATAATTTTGCATATTATTTTCTAGATTATTTTTTATATGACTGTTTTGTACATATATGGTATACTCATTTTGGGAATGCTGGAAATGTTGGAAATGAAGTTTTTTCTCCTCAGTTCTGGCTTTGAGGTAATTCTATATGAATACATAATATAGTAATACTCTATGGGGAAGTGGAACAGAATCCTTCCTCCGTAAGCCATGCATGTCATAAGAGGTGACTAAAATGCCAGGAGCAAGGGGCTAGTAACCCTTTATCCTGTATAAAGATAAAGAATCACACATAAAGTGGGAGTTGTCACAGTTGCTCTTTGCTGATGACACTGTGCTCTTGGGAGATTCTGAAGAGAAGTTGCAGAGATTGGTGGATGAATTTGGTAGGGTGTGCAAAAGAAAATTAAAAGTGAATACAGGAAAGAGTAAGGTTATGAGGATAACAAAAATATTAGGTGATGAAAGATTGGATATCAGATTGGAGGGAGAGAGTATGGAGGAAGTGAATGTATTCAGATATTTGGGAGTGGACGTGTCAGCGGATGGGTCTATGAAGGATGAGGTGAATCATAGAATTGATGAGGGGAAAAGGGTGAGTGGTGCACTTAGGAGTCTGTGGAGACAAAGAACTTTGTCCTTGGAGGCAAAGAGGGGAATGTATGAGAGTATAGTTTTACCAACACTCTTATATGAGTGTGAAGCATGGGTGATGAATGTTGCAGCGTGTTTGATAGGAGTGAATGGAGACAAATGGTTTTTAATACTTGACGTGCTGTTGGAGTGTGAGCAAAGTAACATTTATGAAGGGGTTCAGGGAAACCGGCAGGCCGGACTTGAGTCCTGGAGATGGGAAGTACAGTGCCTGCACTCTGAAGGAGGGGTGTTAATGTTGCAGTTTAAAAACTGTAGTGTAAAGCACCCTTCTGGCAAGACAGTGATGAAGTGAATGATGGTGAAAGTTTTTCTTTTTCGGGCCACCCTGCCTTGGTGGGAATCGGCCAGTGTGATAATAAATAAAAAAACATTACTAAAATTGAGAAGAGAATTTTTGTTTTTCTTTTCGGGCCACTCTGCTTCAGTGGGATATGGCCAGTTTGTTAAAAGAAGAAAAATACAGTAATACCCCGGTTTTCGTCCTTAACCCTTTCAGGGTCCGTTCTGTAGGTCTACGGCTTTGAGTTGAGGGTCCAAACCATAGATCTACACCATAAGCTCAGCTCACTCTGATAAGCTGTGAGCGGTAAATTTGGTCCTAGATATGAGAGAATACATCTATGTGGTATGTGTGCACCACATAAAACAAATCCTGCAGCACACAGTGCATAATGAGAAAAAACTGAGACCGCAATTTTCGATTAAAACAGCGACTTTGCAGTGTTTTTTCGTATGTTTTTATAGTTGTATTTGCGATTTCTTGGTCTCAATTGATAGAATGGAAGATATATTACAGAAATAGAGATGATTTTGATTGGTTTTAGTTTTGGAAATGGCTTGAAACTGAGCTCAAATAGTGGAAATGTTAAATTTTTGCCAATGTTCAAGAGTAAACAAATGACCTCACACGTCTAATACATGCCAGCTGGTGGGTCTAATATATGTTCACAAATGTGGTGATATTATTTATACAATTATTACAATATTGCATAACAGTAAATCTTCTATTTTTTTGGTTTGAATAAAAATTCATTATGTAAATAAAAAATCAAATTGGAATTCATTTGTAAAGCCTGAAAACATAACTTATGAACAGAGAAAATGTTAGTTTAGTGTCAGGAATGCCTGCATTGTTTATTCTGGACCCTGTTTTGAAATTGAAATATTTTGAACTTTGCATTAAATTGGCCAAATTATCAATTTCCGATCACTTTATTTTGTAGTTGAAACAGTTGACTTGGCAATTTCTTGTGCTCAATTGATAGAAGTAATACTAGTGAAATATCTAAGAATTTGGTCGACTGGAATAATGTAATTGGCCTAAGATGGGAGTCAAAGTCGGCAAAATCGTCGATGCGTAAATATCGCTGACACATCAAAATTCGTGAGCATAATTTCATCAATTTTCCATTAAATTTCATACTTTTTGTTTTATTACCTTCAGAAAAAGATTCTCTACCATTCACAAGAAAAAATAACAAAATTATTTTTCGAAAATTCTTGGACCCTGGTGCACACTTTGAAATTTGGCCTCTGGACCCTGAAAGGGTTAATCTGTTCCAGAAGGTCAGCTGAAATCCAAAATGGACGGAAGCCGAAGTAATATTTCCCATAAGAAATAATGTAACTCCAATTAATCTGCTCAGACACTCAAAAATATTAAGAAAAAATACATTTTATAGAGAATATAGTTTTACATACAGAAAACAATGAGAAATAAATATAAATCACTAATTTTAATGGATAAATGAACATTTAAATCAGTTTTACCTTTATTGAAGACTCTTCATGGCATATTCTTTATGAGATCCGCACGTAGCTGCCTTGCGTTTTCGCAAATTATCGCCTTCACAGTACTATCTCCCGCTAACTGTTTTTTGTTGATCCACACCAACAACAACTTCTCAACATCTTTGATTGTTTATCATCACTACCACCCTCTACCACCATCACAACCACTACCACCTTCTACCACCATCACTACCACCCTCTACCACAGTCACTACTCCCCTCTACCTTTGTAGAGGGTGGTGGTGACATTTCTCCACAAAACTTTGCAACTCATTCTACGAGTTCTTTCTTGAATTCTGTTGTGTTTCTCACCTTCTTTACCAATGGGCTGGCACTCTGAACTTTCTTTGGCCCCATGGTGGCTTTTTTCACAGTTGCAGTTAATAAACAAGTACAAAAAACAATGGATGAATGCGGAGAGTATTGCTAACTCAACGAGAGACAGAGGCAGACTGAGTTTGGTATGGATGAGAAGTGGCATCCTGGGTGGGTGGACGCATCTGATACGGACGATTTCCGAGTGGATGTACGAAACCCAGGGGAAAATTTTGCCATAAAAAGTGCTTGAAATCCGAATTGTACGATTTCTGCACCGGACGAAAACTGGGGGTCCACTGTATAGCAGAATTGCAGTGATTATGTGTGAGTGAGGTGAAAGAGTTGAATGATGATGAAAGTATTTTCTTTTTGGGGATTTTCTTTCTTTTTGGGTCACCCTGCCTCGGTGGGAGATGGCCGACTTGTTAAAAAAAAAAAAAATGAATACCTACAACATTGTAGGTAGTAGGTTGGTAGACAGCAACTGCCCAGGAAGGTACTACCGTCCTGCCAAGTGAGTGTAAAACGGAATCCTGTAATTGTTTTACATGATGGTAGGATTGCTGGTGTATTTTTTCTGTCTCTTAAACATGCAAGATTTCAGGTACGTCTTGTTCAGGTACGTCTTGCTTCTTATACTTACACTTAGGTCACACTACACATACATGTACAAGCATATATATATACACACCCCTCTGGGTTTTCTTCTATTTTCTTTCTAGTTCTTGTTCTTGTTTATTTCTTCTTATCTCCATGGGGAAGTGGAACAGAATTCTTCCTCCGTAAGCCATGCGTGTTGTAAGAGGCAACTAAAATGCCGGGAGCAAGGGCCTAGTAACCCCTTCTCCTGTGTAAATTACTAAATTTAAAAAGAGAAACTTTCGTTTTTTTTTTGGGCCACCCTGCCTTGGTGGGGCCAGTTTGTTGAAAAAAAAAACCTATAACATAAAAAAAAATAAAAAAAAAATCCAGCTTGAACAAAATGTAGGTTCATCACCTTTACTGTTTCTCATTTTCATGTTAGACTCAGCCAGAAAAACTAACCACAGCTTTGTAACATTTTTTTCAGTCAGTACCATAATAAACGTGAATGTTACATCAGTGACAAACATAGAAATACCACAAATGGATATTAATAAACATTTCTAGTGAATAGAGGAAAATAACATGTTAAACTGTGACAGATTTTAAATGCTTTGATATGGAAAGAATGAAGAACTCAAAATTGAACATGCAAAATGCAGTCAGCTCTTTTCATAGAATGGAGGGTACTGTTAAATAACTAATTCTAATAATGTTAGATCATCCTGTCATTTAAAAAGATACATTAAAAAAAGTAGCTAAGACCATGAAAGTAACAGGCTGGATGTAAATACAGTGTATTCGAAACGAGATGTCATGCTATATTGGTAAGCTATAAACTACTTGTTCATTCACAACTAGAATTTTGTTCAGGACTCCCAGCTCCTTTCAAGGCAAGAAAGATATCCAAGCTGGAAAACATATAGAGCCTTTACTGTTCATAAAGAACACAACATCTAAATCACAAGTAGTTCCTTAAAGTTATTAACTGCGCTTTCAGGAACGGAGACGGGAATGATATTTGATAATGTATAGAGTGCATGGAAAAATTCTCAAGGCTAGTTCCCTTATGTACATGCTGCCATGCAGTGCTGTATGACCCTTATTGGTTTAGTGCTTAGTTATGATTATAATAATAATAATACATGCTGCCATAACTTACTGGAATGAGCAATATGAGAGAGAGTGTGGAATGAATTCATTGAAAAGTAGGGCTGCCATAAGCATATTAGAAAAGTGTTAACATTCATGGTATATGACAGATACAAGAAATATTGCAAGAACAAAGTTAGATGTCTTCAAGAGGAGACTAGACATGTTTCTGCAGGAAGAGCCAGATCAGCCAGGTTGTGATGACTATATAGGCCTCAGGGCAACACCAGACTGACTGATCAGGCATCATCAGGGAAGCCTGAGCTCAGGCCAAGCTGTCAGAAAATAAGAACTCCAAAAAAACATGTCACCAGTACAGTCGCTTATTAACCCTTTGAGGGTTTTCGTCGTACTAGTACGTCTTACGCGTAGGGGTTTTTGACGTACTAGTACTCATAAATTCTAGCGGCCTCAAATCTAGTGGGAGAAAGCTGGTAGGCCTTCATATGAAAGAATGGGTCTATGTGGTCAGTGTGCACAGTCTAAAAAAAATCCTGTAGCACACAGTGCATAATGAGAAAAAAAAAACTTTGACCATTTTTTTTGAATAAATCAGCGACTTTGCAGTGTATTTTCGTATGGTATTTATTGTTGTATTCTAGTTTTCTTGGTCTCATTTTATAGAATGGAAGACATATTACTGAAATTGAGATGATTTTGACTGGTTTTACAATGAAAGGTGCCTTGAAATTGAGCTCAAAGTAGCAGAAATGTTCGATTTTTACCAAACTTCAAAAGTAAACAAATCGTGCCAAGCGTGCAATACACGTCAACTGGTGAGTCTGATATTCTTTCACAAGTGCACCAATAATATTTATACCATTTTTTACACTAATGCAGTAGTCTGCATAACAGTAAATCTTATATTTTTTGTGAAAATAAAAATTCAAAGTGGAAAGCAAAAGAATATAAGAGGGGCCTTGAGACGTGAATAATGACTAGAGGAAATGTCATTTTAGTGCCAGGAATGTCTTTCTTGTTTATTCTGGACCCTATTCCGAAATTGGCATCTTTTGAAATTTGTGTGAAATTGGCAAAATTGCTAAATTCTGACCACTGTACTGGATAGTTGAATTTCATAAATGAGTGGTTTCTTGCACCCATTCGATAGAAAAAATGGAGTTCTAGCGAAATATTCATGTTTTTTGTCGACTAGTACAGTGAAATTGGCCGAAAATGGGGCTCAAAGTGGGCAAAATCGCCGATGCGTAAACATCGCTGAGACCGCTAACTTTGTGAGAGCATAATTCCGTAAGTTTTCTATCAAATTTCAAACTTTTGGTGTCTTTATGATCAGGAAAAGATTCTCTATCTTTTCATAAGAAAAAATAATTTTTTTTTTTTTTTTAAATTTGGCCGACCCTGAGAACGAGTTTCGGAGAGGGCCTGTCGACCCTCAAAGGGTTAAGGGTTATTGTGTAACATGATTCTATATTTTCATGAGATTTGTTTTCATCTTCCTATTTCCATTCTCCTCATGTAGGTTACTTGTTGCTGTGAAGGGATCTTGATATAAGGGATTGGAGTTTACTTCCCTTTCCTTAGATCAAACCTAAATTCCCCCACCCCTTTTTTCAGTTAAAATAAAGGGGACATATCCCCATTTGTCAAAAATTGCTGGGCTTATAGCCTGTGACCTGATTTGAATTGTGAAAAGTGAACCTTACCTTGTGCTACTGCCAATGATACTGACATTACTACTGCCACCACCAATGCCATTGTTGGTTCTGACACTTTCACTGGTGATGGCACCACCCTTGTTGACACTGCTACTGCTGCTCTTGTAATACAGTCCTTTTTGACAGTCCTACCCTGTTTCTGCTTAGCTACATCACCTGTAACTCCTCTTTCCCCATTCTACCAGCACCCTCTCCTCAGCAGCTTTGCTGCTTTCTGCCATCTATTTCACCTCATTTGTATGGTACTTAATTATTTACAGGTTTAGCACTTTTCTGTGTAAATAGTAATTCTGTAGTTATATTTGTCTATAGTTATATTTCTCAAAATTGTATTCCATTACCTCTTCAGTGGGAGTGCATTTATACTGAATTGGAATTGATCTACTCTGTTTCCTCATACATGAGTACCTCCCATTGTACAGGTGTTGTATAACATCTACAGGTTTAATGCTTCAACATGAATGTAGCATTAATAATTTATTCCATCAGTTTATCACTACATGCTCAGCGGAGCAGAATAGGAATAAGAGGGTGTGTAAATCTGGGGGAAGAGGGAAGGAGGGGGTAGGGGTCATCCCAGGAATTGTTTGGAAGGAGGTAAGCAGGTTTGGAGTCCTAGCAGCTTGGTCATCCAGTAGGGTTGTTTGAGCATGCTATGAGCAGAAGCAAGTGTTTTTTATGACATGACATGCCATTGGAGTATAAGGAATGAAAAATTTATGAAGGGATTCAGAGAAATTAGTTAACTGGACTTGAGTCTTGGAAAGTACAGTACTACTTGCAATCTGAAGGGGTGGGGATGTTTCAGTTTGGAGGCCCATCAGAAATGTGATGTCACCATGCTTCTGGAAAGAAAGTGATTGAATGAATGACTGTGGAAGTGTTTTCTCTTTTTTGGGTGATCCAACCTTGGTGGGAGATGGCCGGTGTATTAAAGGAAAAAAATCTTTTTACCAATATTGCTACAGTATAATCATATTTTTTATGAATTTTCTACCTTCTCTGTTGAGTAGTCCATATTGTACTACTTCAGATTGTGTTCCTCCTGTTTAATTTCATTTAGACAAGATTAACTCAATCAATACTTTTATATATTTTTTTGTTAACGAACTAGCCATATCCCACCAAGGCAGGTGACCTAAAAAGAAAAAATGAAAGAATATTTTTATGTATCTTTTAAAAATTGTATCTTAGACATTCCTTGTTATTTTCATTTTCAAATTCTTTCTGGGCTTATCCTCCCCTCCCTTGGATCAAACCTGATTCCCTTCCCAGGCACTGCATAATTTCTGCAGGTTTAATGTTTCCCACTGATTAAAATAAATAAAATCCAATTCATTCTCTCATTTCATGAGTACTTGTAAACTGTTTGGTCTGTAGAACATTGCACTGTTCCTCACTATCAATAAAATATATTCTGTATACAGTATATTTTTATCATATTTAAGTGTGGTATTGGTGAAATATATGCATGCTTCAGGTCAGTTGTGTGACTACAGCAGTCCTCTACACAGTTCCCTGGTAAAACATGCAGCTTCTCATATTACCAAAGAGTGTATTACCTGTGCAATATGCAGCAAAAAGTTCAAGACTCGTGCCACAATCAAAACCCATCTCCGAGTGCACCGTGGAGAGGAGGTTATGTACAAGGTGAGTATTATTTTATTAGCTCTTCTTAATATGTGAAGTTCACTCTCTAAGTCCTATTTGGTGCAGTTTTTTTTTTTAAGGTGATTTTGGAATCATTATTTTGTGTATTATTGGTGATAGATTTTTAAAACTACATGTTTATTGCGATACAACAAACTTTTCCTTTCATCACCTTCTTTAAATTAGGAAGAAATTTTCTAAACTACAGTAAACATCTTAGTTCCATTTTCAGATTTACATCTATTTTTTTTTTAACATGCTGGCTGTCTCTCCTGGGGCAGAGTGACCCCCCCCCCCCCCAAAAAAAAAAAAAGAAAAAAAAAGAAACACTTTCACCATCATTCACAGTATCACTGCCTTGGCAGAGGTTTGCAGATATAACAGTTCAGATGCCACTCTAAACAGCAAATATCCCAAACCCCTCCTTTAAAATGCAGGCATTGTACTTCCCACCTCCAGGACTCAAGTCTGGCTAACCAATTTCCCAGAAGCTATACACAGAATATTACCTCCCTAACACTCCAACAGTTCATCAAGTCAAAAAAACCATTTGTCTCCACTCCTATCTAACATGCTCACACATGCCTGCTGTATGTCCAAGCTCCTTGCACACAAAACCTCTTTTTACCCCCTCCCTTCATCCTTTCCTAGGATGACCCTGTACCCCTCCTTCAATTTTTTTTTTTCAACAAACCGGCCATATCCCACTGAGGAAGGGTGACCTAAAAAGAAAAACAAAAATTTTTCTTTTAAAATTTAGTATACAGAGAAGGGGTTACTAGTCCCTTGCTCCCAGCATTTTAGTTGCTTCTTATGACATGCAAGGCTCATGGAGGAAGAATTCCACTTCCCCATGGAGATAAGAGGAAATAAAGAACAAGAAGTATTAAGAAAATAGAAGAAATCCCAGATGGGTATGTATACATATATGCATATACATGCATGTATAGTGTGACCTAAGTACAATGGACCCCCGGTTTACGATATTATTTCATTCCAGAAGTATGTTCAGGTGCCAGTACTGAACGAATTTGTTCCCATAAGGAATATTGTGAATTAGATTAGTCCATTTCAAACCCCCAAACATACACGTACAAACGCACTTACATAAATACACTTACATAATTGGTCGCATTGGGAGCTGATCGTAAAGCGGGGGTCCACTGTATAAGTAGAAGTAGCAAGCTATACCTGTTATCCCACATGTTTATAAGACAGAAAATGACACCAGCAATCCTACTATCATGTGAAGGGATTACAGGTTTGTGTTTCGCGCTCACTTGGCAGGATGGTAGTACTGCTCTGGGCAGTTGCTGTCTACTGACCTATTATCTATGCCTCCTTCAAATATCTGTGACTAATACTTTAATCTCACATAAAATACTGCATAAAAATATAGATTCTGAGAGCCATGTTAACCGAACATTGAAACAGGTTGGTGAAGCCAGGATGACTCGAGTATGGAACACATTCGTACAGCATAATGATGTCAACGAGATAAAGTCAGTTGATCAAATGAAAATGCTGGCCCACAGATGGCTCCAACTTCATCCTGTTCCCTACTTGTATGTCTCATAACAATAAAAATGCTTTCAAATGAGCTGATGTAGGTAACAGCTCTTAGCTTGCCAATAAAGTTAGGAATCCTTAACCTGTAAATAGCTTGTCAATAAAGCTAGGGATCCTTAACCTTGTCAAACCCTGTGTAAAAAAAAAAAAAAAAAAAAAAATCCAAAACCAATTTGACAGTACATATATGATAGATTTGTGTTTTAAATTAAGGTTGCTTTTAAACAAAATTAAATTTGCTTTAAGACTACATCTATTCAGGGAGAGCAGACTGATGAATGCAAATGATAGCTGAGAATTTACTGATGTCGTTGAAATAGAGCTTACGTGAAACTTTCAAAAGTGAGCATGAAACTTTTAAAATCATTTATGTGCTTGTCAAATATGATCAAATTCTTTAATAAATTTATATAGTACTGCCAGTCAAATTCAGCAGCATCTGCATATTTTTACAAATTTGAAAGGGTAAAAAATTTTTACTCTAAATGTGTGCTGCAGAAAGTTTCAAGTTTTGGCAAACTCATTTACTATATTGTAAATTGGCTCTCACCTTCTGAAGGTTTGTCATTAGTTTATTCAAGTGGATGTTGAGGATTTTGACACATGTCCACCATATCAGTGAGTTTTTCCCACCATTTGATCGTAAAAAAAATTCTGCTTGTAGTGATTGAATTAATAAAGTCTTTCTGTTTTGTTTCATCTTGAGAATCACTATGCTACTTGTGAAAATTGATGATCTGGTTTTCTAGCTTTGTAAAGTAATTGCTCCTTTAATATAAGAAATATTTTGTATTTTTTACAGTGTGAATCCTGTCCAGTGATGTATAGCCAAAAGTTCAACCTGATCAAACACTTGGCATCAAAGCACCAGTGTGATGCTGATGGACGGCCTCTCACACAGTCACTCTCATGCCCTTACTGTGCCTTTACTACTCTTGCTGATTACAAGCTTAAAGCCCATATTGTAAGTTCTGTTGTTACCCCTCTAAGGAGTGTTGATGCCTATAAATGACTTCGGTTTGGTCTGTAGTTGGATTCATGAAAAAGATTGGGTAGTGATAAGTAAAGAGGTTATATGGTTAGATGATATTTGGATGATTAGCTTGATGTACAGGTGTTCCTTGTTTTATGATGATGATAATACATTGCATGCCTTTGACAGTTGTACTAAACTTAGGTTATAAACACTTAATTTTGCATAAAAATCTTAAGTGCCATCTTCAGACCATACCAACCATATTTTTTATTGTTTTCAACAAGTCGGCCATCTCCCACCGAGGCAGGGTGACCCAAAAAGAAAGGAAATCCCCAAAAAGAAAATACTTTCATCATTCAACACTTTCACCTCACTCGCACATAATCACTGTTTTTGCAGAAACGCCCAGATACAACAGTTTAGAAGCATATATAACATACCCCTCCAAACTGCCAATATCCCAAACCCCTCCTTTAAAGTGCAGGCATTGTACTTCTCATTTCCAGTACTCTAAGTCCCTGAATCCCTTCACTAAATACGTATTACCCTGCTTACACTCCAACAGCTTGTCAGGTCCCAAAAACCATTTATCTTCATTCACTCCTATCTAACACGCTCACACATGCTTGCTGGAAGTCCAAGCCCCTCGCCCACAAAACCTCCTTTACCCCTTCCCTCCAACCTTTTTGAGGACGATCCCTACCCCACCTTCCTTTCCCTACAGATTTATACACTCTCCAAGTCATTCTTCTTTGATCCATTTTCTCTAAATGACCAAACCACCTCAACCAACCATATATGGTGACCAAATATTGCATACATATGTAGAATTACAGTGAATTATTTTTATGACATTCATGTGGGGCACTAAACCCATTGGGTTATACAGCATCTAGGGAAAATTGGAAGCAATCAGGATTGATCCTAGGAAGGGGAGGTCAGGTCATAGCAAATGCTCACAAACGGAACCCACATAAAGCCAGGAAATCTGTACATAAAATTAAGCATGATCGAAACATTTGGAAAATATTGCCATTAGACCTTAAGTCTTCAGAGGAAAAAAAGATTTGATTATTTAGTCAGATTAATAGGTGGATATTTAGCTGGGAATGTCTTTCACTAAATAAGAGAAGAACTACAAACATTAATGAATTGTGTGTAAAGAAAATTTATTTATATTATATCAGGAATCTTATTATCTCAATAATTTTAAAATTACCAAAAATCATCTTAAGATCAAGGCAAATGCTGAAAATAATATGCATGAATATAACTGAATTAATAATAAAGTGCTGAAGCCTTCAGAGTCATACAGCACTGCAGGGTAGGGTATGCTAAAGGTTTAATATGCTGTACTTGATCAGAGACCAGTGAGGGTGAAGAGTATAGTGGTTAGAGTTAGTAAGGGTGGTGAAGAGTGCTAAAAGAAATAAAATTAAAGTTGGTGTAATAAATTTGTTGCTGACAAAAAGTCAAAGAGGGAATACCATAAATGAAAAGTGCCAGATTAATAAAGCGCTCTAAAGCGAGCACCATATTAACTAGGTGTGCCTGTATAAATATATACCATAGTACAGATAGTGTATTAGATATTTACCTACTTAAAATGTTTCCAAGCTTAATAATCATGCATGATATTCTGCAGGTGCGCCGTCACACTGTGGATAAACCTTTTAAGTGTAATCACTGTACATATGCAACAACAGAGAAGACAGCTCTGGCTAAACATATACGGACACACACTAAAGAACGTCCATATGTTTGTGAGACTTGTGGATTCCAGTAAGTAAAACAAAATGTGCACCTTCACTATTCTTAGTTAAATAATTACTTAACTGTTAATGTAAAATTATTATTTATATGGCAGGAGGGAATAAAGGAGGTTTTGTGTGCAGGGGGCTTGGATTTCCAGCAAGCATGCGTGAGCATGTTAGATAGGAGCAAATGGAGACAAATGGTTTTTAGGATTTGATGTGCCGTTGGAGTGTAAGCGAGGTAACATTTACGAAGGGATTCAGGGAAACCGGCAGGTCGGACTTGATTCCTGGAGATGGGAAGTACAGTTTTGTCACTCTGAAGGAGGGTGTTAATGTTGCAGTTTTATAACTGTAGTGTAAGCATGCCTCTGGTAAGACAGTGATGGAGTGAATAATGATGAAAGTTTTTCTTTTTCGGGCCACCCTGCTTTTGTGGGAAATGGCCGATGTGTTAATAAAAAAATAATAAAAATCGTAGGAGAAAGATAAAGCAGAGTAGGCCTATTTCTGGATAAAGTCTTGCTGCCAAGTATAGGCATGCTGTCTTTACATTAGTATGTTGGCATCATTTTGCCTTTTGTACCATTTGTATTCATTTCATTGAAAACTTGATACACAATTGGGATGCAGTGCTTTGGTTAATTACCTGTCATTGATGGTAAACCTAGTTGTTTCTTACACCATCTAAAATTGTTTTTCTCTGCACAAATTATTTTAGAAAAACTTGAAGATTGAGTTAGAATTATCAAAAGTAGCAGCTACATACAGAGGTTTTTTAAATTATTTAATAATAAAACATCTATGATTTTTAACCGTAAATTATAGCTTACAAGTTATTGTCTTCACTTTATATTATTTTGAGGGAGAAATACAAATGCAAACCTGCATCTTCCATTTGTTGGCTTGAGAATCTGGATTTGGCAAGCTTCATTCACTCACTGTCGTATATTCTTTTGGTCTTCATTTGCCATCAATAAATGTGGCTTTATTTAATACAGTATTAGTGAGCATCCACTTAAAATGTTGAATAATACTTCTTCATGTACAGCAAACTCGCTAATTGGGAATGAGAACTGCATGATGTTTTGGTTCATACTTGGCAACAAGGAAGAATAAAAAAGTCACAAATCAATTGAAGGTGCTGAAAGAGATGACCAAGGTCAGATCAGGTCACAGTATATTGGAAGGCCATCATCTACAAAGTCAGGATCAAGGTTATTGCTAGAGATGTTGTAAATAAGGGCCAAGTCAACAAATTGCTGTTCATGAAGACAGCTTTCAAGAAAGAAAGTTTTAAAAGGAGACCAGCCTGTGTAATGACTATGGTTCCTGACTTGAGACAACAGGGAATTGTTAATATTTGCAAGACAAACCCCTTATTTTGTGTTCTTGAAGTCAGTCTGAAAGGAAACAACCAGTTCATCTCTAGTCTGATAATTTTCCTTACTGGAAAATGCACTTTTTATTTACCACTATTCCAACTTGTAAAACTTTTTAACAGTTAAAACTCACCTACCAGTTACACTTTTTTAATTTATGGATATTTTCTATCTTCTCCATGGGGAAGTAGAACATAATTCTTCCTCTGTAAGCCATGTGTGTCATAAGAGGCGACTAAAATGCCAGGAGCAAGGGGTTAGCAACCCCTTCTCCTGTATTTATTACTAAATTTAAAAAGAGATACTTTAATTTTTTTTTTTAAGTCACTCTGCTTAGGTAGGATATAGCCGCTTTGATGTACAGTATTTGCTACCGTTATCGCAATGCAATCCCATTGGGTTGTCTGCTACAATATTTTGATAAGCAGTGATTCACATTGGTGAATGCTAAATCAGTATGTAGAAGTCTTTGTTAATATTTTACAGTCTTCCTTCAAAGAGGTCAAAAAATATTTGTTGATTAGTTGAAATGCCTGTTAAAATTTCTGCATAATGGTACCCCCTAAAAAAAATTCTCAAGAATGGTTCCACATTCACTGCAAACACTGATTTGCTTCATTAACTGTAACCATTTTTTTAACCTCTTTTCCTCTGCTATGTAGTGCCTTTGAGTTTAGTATTTTCCATGAATATGATAATCAAGTTATACTGGCCTAGCAACTTGAAGCAGAATGTCTCAGGATTCTTAATGGTTACCAGTTGCTTCCTAAGTGCCTTCTGGGCTTGTGGATAGTTTTATGTTCATGGTCTCCCTGCACTGTGTGGTCTTGACGAAATGTGTCAAAGACATTTTTGGCTATGGTGAATTACTGTGGACAGGAGTAAGTCACTGACACAAAGAAACTATTGCAGGAATCATTGGATTATGAAAGCCTTGCCATGATACAAAAGATATTGTAGAGGCCAGAGAAGTTTGAGCACCTGGTTGCATCTGTTCCTTCTAAACAGTCTTCATAACATGCCCACACCAAAAGCATGTCCAGGGACACCTAGAAAAATGTCCTTACTAAAATACCTAGAATTGGTTTGTTTTCATTTACCCAAATCTTTCACTCAAGTGTGATGCAAGGTTATTATGCCACATTGCAAAATCTGTTGTTTAGTGGCTTTGTGACTGAAGTGCCCTTCTTTGATGAGTGGCCAAGAAATTCCCTAGATGTGAATCCCAGTTTGGAGGGATATGTTGTGTATCTTTATATGTATATGCTTCTAAACTGTTGTATTCTGAGCACCTCTGCAAAAACAGTGATAATGTGTGAGTGTGGTGAAAGTGTTGAATAATGATGAAAGTGTTTTCTTTTGGGGGATTTTCTTTCTTTTTTGGGTCACCCTGCCTCGGTGGGAGACGGCCGACTTGTTGAAAAAAAAAAAAAAGTGAATCCCATTGAGAAATTCAGGGTTTAGATACAGAGATTTACTAGGGAAAGGATATCAGCTCACTCCTACAGCATCAGAACACATTTATGAGTCATAGGGAAACCTTGAAGAATGTGTGCTAATCACTTCCTAGAGTCTAGACAGTTGAATGATGTCCTAATGCTCATGGGATGACCTATTTTGTGGTAGTGAGTTTAGAGGGATGCTGACATACTTTAATGACAAGCACTGTGTATTGTTATCACCAAAGTATGAAGAAGATTTCTTTACACTAGTAGGGCAAATATAATGATTATGGTACACATGAAGCCAGTACTTGTTTCCTTTCTGTTATCAAGTGTACATTAGTTTTGTGTCTATATTGTTTTTCTGCAACTAAATGTGGACTAGTAATTAAAATTTAAAAAAACAGCCTCAGTAACAAATTTACCTAAACCCAATTCCAGTGCACCAACCCTGAGTAGTTTGTGGCGTCATCGTCGAAGTCACACTGGAGAAAAGCCATTTGAATGTGAACAGTGTGGGCAACAATATGCAGATAGCAAACGTTTGCGAGATCATATGTATAAGCACAACAATGTCAAACCATTCATGTGTCACATGTGTGGCTACACATGCAGGCGCAAGGACAATTTGCAGGTTAGTTATTCTCTGGCTTTGATTAATGTATAAAAAAAAAACTTTAAAATCAAGGCTATGCTGTATAACTGAACATAAATCTGACTATGTTTGTCAGTAATATAGTGTAGCTTTTCATCGGTCATTTTAGAAGCTCACAGTTACATTAGTACATATGTATATGAAGTCTTACATTATTTCTACTTTTAAAATAGCTTTTTATATTATGAGCTGTATTATTACAAATTAATCTGATCTTACCATTACTGGTATATGAATTATTGGTATCCTTCAATTAATATGGTAGATATGTTCCAGGCCCCAGCAGCTGTACTAAGCTCACTCAGGCCATCAACTCTTTTAATTTTGCATAGCAGTAATCTTTAGTACATTTTTCAAACCAACTGACTGCATATACTGAATGTATATTCCACATAAGAAATTACCAACAGAAATTAGATATTGCACTGTATATCAGTGAATTTACATAAAGCAAGATAATTTTATTTATTTTTAACTTTTAGTATTCTGTGATATCTTTTCTACTTTACATCATGATCAGACTAACTATGATTATTTTTATTCTTTTTAAGTCCAGTAACTGTTTTAAATGCATTTTTATTTCTTAGATGTGCACTTTTATATGTTTATTAGGCATCATTTCTTAAAAGTATAGGCATGCTCAGCATCCATACAATTTATATTAGTATATATTATTATTGCAGGTAGTAGGTTGGTAGACAGCAACCACCCAGGGAGGTACTACCGTCCTGCCAAGTGAGTGTAAAACGAAAGCCTGTGATTGTTTTACATGATGGTAGGATTGCTGATGTCTTTTGTCTGTCTCATAAATATGCAAGATTACAGGTATGTCTTGCTACTTCTACTTACACTTAGGTCACACTACACATACATGTACACATTTATTTATACACACTCATCTGAGTTTTCTTTGATTTTATCTTAATAGTTCTTGGAAAAACCGGTTATTTTCATATAGTCGGACTTGAGTCCTGGAAATGGGAAGTACAATGCCTGCACTTTAAAGGAGGGGTTTGGGATATTGGCAGTTTGGAGGGATATGTTGTGTATCTTTATATGTGTATGCTTCTAAACTGTTGTATTCTGAGCACCTCTGCAAAAACAGTGATAATGTGTGAGTGTGGTGAAAGTGTTGAATGATGATGAAAGTATTTTCTTTTTGGGGATTTTCTTTCTTTTGTGGGTCACCCTGCCTCGGTGGGAGATGGCCGACTTGTTGAAAAAAAAAAAAAAAAAAGTTCTTGGTCTTATTACTTTTCCTTTTATATCCATGGGGAAGTGGAATAAGAATCTTTCCTCCGTAAGCCATGCGTGTTGTAAAAGTCAACTAAAATGCCGGGAACAATGGGCTAGTAACCCCTTTTCCTGTAAAGATTACTAAAAAGAATAAGAAGAAGAAAATTGTCAAAGTGGGAAGTCTGAATGTGCGTGGATGTTGTGCAGATGATAAGAAAGAGATGATTGTGGATGTTATGAATGAGAAGAAGCTGGATGTCCTGGCTTTAAGTGAAACAAAGCTGAAGGGGGTGGGAGAGTTTCAGTGGAGAGGAATAAATGGGATTAGTCAGGGTTTCAAATAGAGTTAGAGCTAAAGAAGGAGTAGCAATAATGTTGAAGGATAAGCTATGGCAGGAAAAGAGGGACTAAAAATGTATTAATTCAAGGATTATGTGGAGTAAAATAAAGATTGGATGTGAAAAGTGGTTATAATAAGCGTGTATGCACCTGAGAAGAAAGAAGTGTAGAGGAGAGAGAGATATTTTGGGATATGTTGAGTGAATGTGTGGGGAGTTTTGAATCAAGTGTGAGAGTAATGGTGGTTGGGGATTTCAATGCTAAAGTGGGTAAAAATGTTATGGAGGGAGTAGTAGGTAAATTTGGGGTGCCAGGGGTAAATGTAAATGGGAGCCTTTAATTGAGCTATGTGTAGAAAGAGATTTGGTAATAAGTAATACATATTTTATGAAAAAGAGGATAAATAAATATACAAGGTATGATGTAGCACGTAATGAAAGTAGTTTATTAGATTATGTATTGGTGGATAAAAGGTTGATGGGGTAGGCCTCCAGGATGTACTTGTTTATAGAGGGGCAACTGATATATCGGATCATTATTTAGTTGTAGCTACAGTTAGAGTAAGAGGTAGATGGGAAAAGAGGAAGGTGGCAACAACAAGTAAGAGGGAGGTGAAAGTGTATAAACTAAGGGAGGAGGAAGTTCGGGTGAGATATAAGCGACTATTGGCAGAAAGGTGGGCTAGTGCAAAGATGAGTAGTGGGGGGTTGAAGAGGGTTGGAATAGTTTTAAAAATGCAGTATTAGAATGTGGGGCAGAAGTTTGTGGTTATAGGAGGGTGGGGGCAGGAGGAAAGAGGAGTGATTGGTGGAATGATGAAGTAAAGGGTGTGATAAAAGAGAAAAAGGTAGCTTATGAGAGGTTTTTACAAAGCAGAAGTGTTATAAGAAGAGCAGAGTATATGGAGAGTAAAAGAAAGGTAAAGAGAGTGGTGAGAGAGTGCAAAAGGAGAGCAGATGATAGAGTGGGAGAAGCGCTGTCAAGAAATTTTAATGAAAATAAGAAAAAATTTTGGAGTGAGTTAAACAAGTTAAGGAAGCCTAGGGAAAGTATGGATTTGTCAGTTAAAAACAGAGTAGGGGAGTTAGTAGATGGGGAGATGGAGGTATTAGGTAGATGGCGAGAATATTTTGAGGAACTTTTAAATGTTAAGGAAGAAAGAGAGGCAGTAATTTCATGCACTGGTCAGAGAGGTATACCATCTTTTAGGAGTGAAGAAGAGCAGAATGTAAGTGTGGGGGAGGTACGTGAGGCATTACGTAAAATGAAAGGGGGTAAAGCAGCTGGAACTGATGGGATCATGACAGAAATGTTAAAAGCAGGGCGGGATATAGTGTTGGAGTGGTTGGTACTTTTGTTTAATAAATGTATGAAAGAGGGGAAGGTACCTAGGGATTGGCAGAGAGCATGTATAGTCCCTTTATATAAAGGGAAAGGGGACAAAAGAGATTGTAAAAATTATAGAGGAATAAGTTTACTGAGTATACCAGGAAAAGTGTACGGTAGGGTTATAATTGAAAGAATTAGAGGTAAGACAGAATGTAGGATTGCGGATGAGCAAGGAGGTTTCAGAGTGGGTAGGGGATGTGTAGATCAAGTGTTTACATTAAAGCATATATGTGAACAGTATTTAGATAAAGGTAGGGAAGTTTTTATTGCATTTATGGATTTAGAAAAGGCATATGATAGAGTGGATAGAGGAACAATGTGGCAAATGTTGCAAGTATATGGAATAGGTGGTAAGTTATTAAATGCTGTAAAGAGTTTTTATGAGGATAGTGAGGCTCAGGTTAGGGTGTGTAGAAGAGAGGGAGACTACTTCCCGGTAAAAGTAGGTCTTAGACAGGGATGTGTAATGTCACCATGGTTGTTTAACCCTTTGACTGTTTTTGACGTATAAATACATCTTACGAGCCAATGTTTCTGACGTATATATACTCAATAATTCTAGCGGCTTCAAATCAAGCGGGAGAAAGCTGGTAGGCCCACATGTGAGAGAATGGGTCTGTGTGGTCACTGTGCACCACATAAAAAAAATCCTGCAGCACACATTGCGTAATGAGAAAAAAAAACTCTGATCGTTTTTTTTGGAATAAAACGCCGACTTTGAGGTGTATTTTCGTATAGTATTTATCGTTGTATTCACGTTTTCATGGTCTTAGGTGATAAAATGGAAAACATATTACAGAAATAGAGATGATTTTCATTACTTTGACGATGAAAACGACCTTGAAACTGAGCTCAAAGTAGCGGAAATGTTCGATTTTTACCAATGTTCAGGAGTAAACAAATCACACCACACGTCCAATACACGTCAACTGGGGAGTCTAATATTCTTTCACTAGTGCACTGATATTATTTATACCATTTTTACAATAATCCAGTAGTCTGCATAACAGTAAATTTTGTATTTTTTTGTATGAATAAAAAATCAAAATAGAAAGCAATAATAATATAAGAGGGGCCTAGAGATGTGACTAATGAACAGAGCATATGTTATTTTAGTGCCACGAATGTCTACCTTGTTTATTCTGGACCCTATTTTGAAATTGGCATCTTTTTTAGTTTGCGTGAAATTGGCCAAATTGCCAATTTCTGACCACCATATTGGGTAGTCCAAATTAGTAAATGGGAGGTTTCTTGTACTCAGCTGATAGATAAAATGGAGATCTAAAGAAATAGCTATGAGTTTGGTCAACTGGAAGAATGGAATTGGCTGAAAATAGGGCTCAAAGTCGGCGAAATCGCCGATACGCATATGTCGCCGAGACCGCTAACTTCACGGGAGCATAATTCCATGAGTTTTCGACCAAATTTCGAACTTTTGGTGTCATTACCATCGGGAAAAGATTCTCTATCATTTCATAAGAAAAAATAATTTTTTTTTTTTTTTCAAAAATTGAGCGACATAGAATGACAGTTTCAGAAAGGGGCCTGAAACAGTCAAAGGGTTAATATATTTATAGATGGGGTTGTAAAGGAAGTAAATGCTAGGGTGTTCGGGAGAGGGGTGGGATTAAATTTTGGGGAATCAAATTCAAAATGGAAATTGACACAGTTACTTTTTGCTGATGATACTGTGCTTATGGGAGATTCTAAAGAAAAATTGCAAAGGTTAGTGGATGAGTTTGGGAATGTGTGTAAAGGTAGAAAGTTGAAAGTGAACATAGAAAAGAGTAAGGTGATGAGGGTGTCAAATGATTTAGATAAAGAAAAATTGGATATCAAATTGGGAAGGAGGAGTATGGAAGAAGTGAATGTTTTCAGATACTTGGGAGTTGACTTGTCGGCAGATGGATTTATGAAGGATGAGGTTAATCATAGAATTGATGAGGGAAAAAAGGTGAGTGGTGCGTTGAGGTATATGTGGAGTCAAAAAACGTTATCTATGGAGGCAAAGAAGGGAATGTATGAAAGTATAGTAGTACCAA